TACTTTTCTAGACATTTTATTTCTTTTCTTTTTCTATTTTTTAAAGTGGCGGGTTGGGTTGGACAGGTTTATTCGGTTTTCATGAGTTAACCCACAACCCACCCAACCCGTGTAAAAATAACAAAAAAAACCGACCCAACCCGGTCAGGTTGATTCGATTGAGGCGATTTGGGTGGGTTCGGTTGGGTTTTTCTATCCCTCGGGTTGGTTCGGTTTGGACGAATTCAATCGGGTTTTGTCCACCCCTAGCTCCAAGTATAGACGAGTCACTAGTGGCATGGTGGCAACTATGTTAGCATTGGGACGACAGGATCACTATTGTGTTTGTGGCTTGTACTTCTTCAATAGCTTAGGCTTTGAGACTTCCAGTGTCCCTTTTGTTTGCAAAAGTTACACTCATCACTAGCAATCCTTACATAACATTGTTCTGATTTTGTGTGGACGATCAAGAGGGTACGCCAAAACTGAGGTGCTAGATGGAGGAAGAAATACTTCTCTTGCAAGAGATTTCAAACGTGTTTCCTCAGCTACAAGTTCACTGACCACCGAATCAACGAAGAAAAGTGAGTACGATGCAAATTAGATCATCTAAGTCCATCAAAAATCACTGCGAATTGTCATAAAAAAATTGAACTAATCGTTGTTCCTCTCTAAAAGTAATATATTCCTCACATTCTTTCAATCTCGCTGATTTCGTAAGAGCCAACTCGTCCCAAATTGAATTCATAGCAGCATAAAACTTGAGAATACTTATATTCTTTTGTTGTAAAGTTTGTATAAAATCTCCAACTGATATCGCTTTACAAAGTTTGACTTAGTGTGTAACTTCTGGAAGTGATCCCAAACTTCCTTTGTTGTTTCAAACTTCGCCGACTGTGTACCAATGGATTGCTCAACATAATTATGAATCAAGTGAAAATTTTCGCATTATTTGACTCCCAATTATCTAATTCTGTCACATAATTCTCAGCAGTATTCTTGGGGTTCACAAAAATTCCACTAACATAACCCCACAGTCTTTTTCCATTTAGAAAAGTCCTCATCACCGTAATCCAATATAAGTATTTTTACCATTTAATCTGACACTAATGGATTGAAGGGAATCATCCATTTTAGTTGCCCTCATGAAATCAACAAATAAGCTACTATCAATAAAAAAATCACCAAAATCTAAGAAAATAGACAACAACCAATGCACCACCAACCATCGAAATATACTGCACTATACATATATAACCAAACTAATACCACTAAGCGATCATAAACTTACCAAGGAAAATAC